AATTTATATAGTGCAGAAAAAGTGATACAAATATGATCAAAGATGTAAATGAACCGCTTTATATATAATTACCACTTATATAATTAATTATGTATCTATATAATTATAGCACATAATATATATACCACAATATACCATAGTGTAGAACTGGGTTTGAGGCCAACTTGTCAATTTTGCCTCTTTCTATTGAGATGAACCCTGGAGTTCATAGACATGTAATGCTGTCTACTTGTTATTCGTGATATAGAAAGTATTTGGCTCACAAGTTGCCTCCGATATCTCAAGGCATCGGTCGCAAATATGCAATGTGAGTCTTGGACCCATTCACTTTAGGCCCCGAGTCCTAACTATTGTGTGGATTTGAGATTCTTCTATTTCTTTATATTGGCTGTACATGTCCATTTCAAGATGGTTAAAACATGGTTTAAAAAAAAAACGTGTGTTGGTTAAGCGTTCAAAACGTGCGAAACGGGGATGGGATGACTGCTGATGACCAGTGATCCCTTGAGGTTGTGGCCCTCAAGACGTCGCTGGGCGCAGCAGAAGAATTTCATCCTATCCATCCCCCAGGGCCCCAGTCATCACCATAGATGCTATGAACTTTATAAACCACCATGCCATATAGGTTTATCATGGTTTATCTATAGATATTTAGAAATTTGAACTATATTTAGATTTATAGATAAACCATGATAAACCATCCCCCAAATGGCTAGTTTTTTTTTGGGGCAGATGCATGAATGCATGAATCCATGCAGTGTATTCAAGATGTCCAACCGTTCATGGGATGATCCCCGGTGTCAAACCTTTCTGAAACATCCCTCGTTTAGTTGGATGTTTTTCCCAGCTACAATAATCCCTTGCTATGATATTCCAGGATTACTATAGGATGTTCTCATCTCAAAATCGTTTGAGATTGGATTTTCTATAAATTTTCTCATCTCAAAATCGTTTGAGATTGGATTTTCTATAAATTGTCTCATCTCAAAATCGTTTGAGATGGGATTTTATATAAACATGATTCCATGATATATATATATATATATCATAAATCCATCTCCCATCTCCTAAAGCTATCTGAAACTCTGCTGATTTTTTTTCCATGGCCCAGTGATTCGGCCATGGTGCTGTCGATTTTCCCCCCATTTTTCCCTGACCAATGGACCAATGATTAGTAAAGCACTGTCATAAACCACCATGGAGTGATGCTGAAATTGAATTTACCCTCTGCTTATGACATTCACAGTTCGCCATGGGATTAAGATGGATTAAGCCATGGCCCTAATCGAAATAGATGGTCTACCGCACTTAAAAATGGGTGGATTGTCCATGGCTATGTTAAATAACCAGATGGTATTTGAATTTATACCAACCATCCAGTTGTTGATGAAATTGGGGATGGTAGATACTAGTGCTGTACTCACATTATAATGGATCTGTGTTCTGATGACCCAATTTTACAATATCATATAATATCATGATTGGTCGATGGCTGTTTCTTAAAGAAAACGGGGTATAATACGATTTTTGTTTGGATAATTTGATTGCACCACCATTTTTGGAAACCCCGTAACCCCGGCTCGATGACCCAGGTAATTAACAAACCATCTAATGTCAATTCCGGATTGATGAGTCGATCATCAATTATACTATTCAGATTGGTAATCCCCAATCAATAAACTCAGTATGAATCCTAGGTGAACATTACTCACTTCAAACTGCGCCAAACGTCGTTCCCCCAGGAGTGGCCTGGGGTCAACGTATTTGTTGATGTCCAACAGCACCGAGTGTGTGGAACTCGTGCCAATGGTGCCGCAGCAGAATTGATTCCGCCACGACAAGTCTGGGTGAGGATTTTGCTGATACTCCCCCGGTCCACCATACCCATATGCTCTATGTATGGTAATGATATTTACCTACATCTGGGTGATTTCGGGCAAATGTTGGTAAATATATGTAAATATTCGAGCACCATGGTTCGCATATGGGATATATGGTGTGAGCATATGAGAATTCTCCAGGGCTACTGACCCTACTGAACTAGTGAAAGACCCTAAGGCGTTCTCACGCGCTGTTGCCGGTAGTCTTGGATTGATCTGGTTTCTGAAAAAAGGTGAATTCCGGTCACAACTGGAGAGTGAAACGTAATTAATGTATTTGTGCGTATATATTTAGGGCTATCTCTATTATATATGGGGATTTCCTAAAATAGGGGTACCCCCAAATCATCCATTTTAGTAGGATTTTTCATTGTAAACCATCTATTTTGGGGTACCTCCATTGATGGAAACCCTTAACAAAAATAATATACATTCATTTATGAATACGTCACCATGCATCACCTCCCATTGTTGGTAGGCATCATGTGAGGCTTGATGACCCCATGCTCAGCATAGATCCATTGAATCCATTTGATGGCCATTGTGAGGGCATTGATCTCCCACGAAGTCAGACATGTCTAACTGTTGGAAGTTTAACGACCCTGTCCACGACATGACAAGAACTTGATGCAAATCCCAAATGATGAGGTGGTCGTAATGTATATATATATATATATGTATAATAATGAGTGATGGCGTTTATGTGCTTAAGTGGAGAGTAGCATTGGGGCGTACCCCAGTGTGTCGAAAACATCATCATTAGGCTGTAAAAAATCGAGGTAGGAACACCCCGAGACCCAGATAGACATCGCATGCAAAGCGACGTTGGAAAACGATGTCAGACCCCCAAAAATGCTGCGGGATTGGAGAAGGATGTAGGAACACCCTGTCAATTGCGTTGTGTACCAAATATCGTCCGTGGCTCCACACACACAGACGCACACATGCGCACCCACGCACCCACGCACCCACGCACGCACACACACACACATATATATAATTAATTATAATTATACATATTATATATATATCTATACTGGTACTTTAATATCTAACCATAATGCTCATCCCTGAGATGAACAATTCACCAGTGAGTAATCTGTTTCCGGAGGGATGACAGTAATGAAATCATCAACCAGACTAGAGTTGAAGGTGACTGTCTTGAAATTAGTGTTACATAAGGAAGAATTGGAAGATCATTCAGCGTCCGTTCATGCGGCTCATGGGGGTATGTTCATCGCCACCACATCACTCTGATGATCGTAAGTAGCCAATTGTTGTTCGTTGCGTTTTACGCATATGTTTAGATATTTACATATAATAAGTGTTTACATATTTATTTATATATACATAATTATATATATATACACGTACCATTCATTCATCATCCCGTTTATAGTAAGAATACACAACCGGGAGCATCAAATGAGCAGTGTTCAAACCCTTGTTGGTTGATCATTATATATGTTATTATACTATCCACTACATGGATAATACATGTATGGGGGATTATCACAATCCATGAGCTGGGAGATCCATTCGCAACCAGCCAGTATAAAGGGACGACACTTCGGGTTTTGAACACTGCTTATCATATCCATCATATATATATATATATAATTTTATTTCCATATATGTCACCATGTTGCCTCTACAAACTATAATCAAATGATTACCCTCTGGTAATTTAACATAGCTATGGAAAGATCCACCATTTTATAGCTGGGAAAATCCACTATTTCTACGGCCATTTTCAATAGCTATGTTAGTCATTACCAGAGGGTATAACCAAACATATATTGTATATTATTATATAACCATAATTAACATGATTATTGGTTATAATATTATGAAACCAGTATTTCAAATGATTATAACCAATATTAACCAGCGAAACAATTATGAAAGCAGCGAAACCAGCGGCATCGGCTCCAAGGAGTCCGAGGAATTCAGCAACCCTCGGGTGAATATCAAGGATGAAGCGACCCTTTGCCGCGGTAAGGGCTTGAAGATGTGCCATATCTTGACTATGGGTCGAATTTTCTTTGAATTATTGGGGATTGGTATACGTTTTTTTGTTTTGGAATATATATATATATATATATACATAATTATATACATATATAAGCATATACATATATATATATACATAAACATACATATATATATATATATATGTGTATATACATATATATATACATATATATATATATATACATATGAGATATAGATAATATGAGCATGCTCCTGACATGTTTGCTAGTTTCCCAAGATATTCCCAGGTCTGAGTAAGGTTTCCCATCCCAGAAGTTTTCCATTCCGAATTGGAAAAGGCGAGATGGCACTGGGAAAGTTGTGCCGTCAATATCGTTTGCGAGCGATATGCTAATCTCTATACATATAATTACACATATATATATATATATTGTATATTATTATGTCACATGATATTCACATATATTCACTATACATCCATACATTATACATTACATATCGATGGATATCGAGAAATTTCCATTGCCAGATTGGATTCCGGGTCAAATTTGGGCAGTGCCTAACACTCAAACGCTACAGAGCTCCCGTGTTGGACTATAACAACCACTCAAAGAACGAACGAATACATAATCCTAAATATTCAATATGTTTGTATTTGTGTAAAATTTGAGTATATATATATATTAATATGTATGGTATGTATTTGCATATATGTATATATATATATAGTATATGTATGTACACATTCATATACATATATTATACATAGCCATCAACCACATTGAGTGAACCGGGTAGTGCTCAATTGCACGGGGTATTTTGGTTTGTCTCGCCAGGGACATTTTCAACCCCGCTGTTTTTCGGCTCCGTTTCAGCTGGCTCTGTCTCAAAATGAGGAGCACAACCAACAACCATACGCACTTGTATACATAAAAGCGATGAAATGACATGAGCACTCAAAATGTTGAGCTCCATGAGAAATCTTGCGTACTTCGGAAACCAAGTGGTTTAACGTAAAACGCTCAAATGAAAGGGATTCTGCTGGAATTTTCCGGATGAAAAGTCTCTCTGAGTTTTGTTGCACCATTGGATGATCACAGACAGCTTCAGTGATGCGGTTGAGCGATGCGGCCATGCTGCGCGCCATGTTTGCCAAAGGCTGCCAATGTGAAAGTGACTTTGGACGTTGGTGGCCATAGATATACCTCGGTGAAATCCACTTTAACCACTGGTCGAGGAGCCAATTCGGCTTTGGTTGACCTATTGAATCTTGGTGGAAGCTGGCAGAAGCGATTCCTGCCACCCGTTCTGTGGATAATAGTTGCTCTATGGTTGGGATTCCTTCTGTTGCTGGAACCATCCAACAGTTGGGAGGCTGCGTGTTTCAGCCATAGTGCGTGGTCATCAATCCACAGGGAATGGTGGGAATCACAATGGCCAGTAAAAGAACTATAGTAGAAGGATTAGGATAATAAATGATAATGGTATGGATGACCTATAGTGTATGGTACACCAACTTTGACTATGACACATGTGGTTTGGATTCGAACATTCGAACATCTCTTCTTCAAAGGGCAAATTGATAGCAAATGATCTGGCTGGATTGGCGATGGCGTGAAACGTCCATGACTGGGCCATGGATCACTGTACTGTAATGCACCATAATCAAAAGCTTATTATGTTATGACTTATGACGTACATATTCATGAAACAATCAGCATAATGGCAAAGTTGTGATTTCCAGTTATATATGTTTCTTTGAACATAGAGTACCTCAAAGTCCCATGTTTTATCATCGTTGAAGTTCAAACGGCAATTGGGGGGTATCCCGTTACCCACCACCTTCGCAGATTTTGACCTGGAAGCCCTGTGATGGTTTTTTTCGCTGTTCTTCTGAGGAACGGTCCATGTGAAGAGGATGGCTCCTATTTTTTGGATCGTGATGGCTTGCAATTTCTCTTTATAATGAGCCTTGTCCGAAGCGGGGCCCGTTAGCTGTGGGATGATGTGCTGAACCTTTGGAAATTGCTGTTGCTTTGAATCCTCGTTTTCACTGTTCAAATATGTTCAAACTGATTGGCATTGCCGTGGGGTAACACAGCAAAAATGTATTGGCATTGCCATGGTTCATCATTTGGAGCCTGCACATGCCTGCACTCTTTGGGTCAGATTCAGTTGCTAACCACTTCGCTCAAGTAACACTGGTACAAGGTGGCCCCGCATAGTTATCACTAAACTGTTGGGTTATGGTAGATATCAATCTATATACTTAACCGGCGCTGTAAAGCGAGGCATAAGTGGTTGGCATCACATGTTTTCACTAAAACTGGTGAAGTGATCAATTTGGTAGCCATGCTTAGCACAAACGTCTACTGCTGTGAGTTGGACAAACCAATATTCATCCGTGATATGTCTGTGTATACATGAATCTGGGTGAATTATAACGACCCCACTGCGACCTCACTGGAATCATGGTTAGTAAGGGAAATCATCCCCAAATGGCCTTAATTCAGGTCAGTGAATTATTATAATTTACCCAGATGAATGAAGTACTGATGTATACATGCGCAGTACATTGCGTAACAATGATTGGTCTGATTGGTCATTCTTGTACTCAGTACTTCTCAAGTAGATCCGCATTCCTAGACTGCCACCGACCGGACGTGATGAAGTCCTGGACTCATCTTGGAAATGTCCCAACAGCCACCGGAATGGAAGAAGGGACACCTTGCAAGCCTGGGTTAACCCTGCGGGTAAGATGGGTGAATATCTTGGATATGTAACTTTCCTACAGTGAAAGTACCGCCATATTTCATTCATTTTCATAGGAATTTCCATTTTAAAAGGGGAACAAGAAATGTCAATCCTGGGTGTGTGCTTGAAGAACACATATTTCCTACTGGATCCTCCGGGAACTATCTTGAGAAGAACCCGTGCGAGTTTATTTGTGTGTTTTCTCAACATCCATTGAAAGCTGCAATGTGGGGTCACCAAGATAGGTTTCTCTTGTTCTACAACTACTAACTGTTGGATGTATGGTGCATATATCTGCACAGTTCTGCTGTACATTCAAATTGGGTTATGCAAACCAACAAGCAAAGCCGTTATGAGGGGAATACCCCATGTATATCCATTAGTATGGATGGCTGTCCCATGTGTGTAGATGTATATACATATATAAATTCAATCATCAATCCATGGTATTGATTAACCCACATCAGCAGGACCAACAAGCACTGATTCCAACTCACACACACCAAACCTAATCAACTTATAGCCAATTTACAGTGTTCAAAACATTCAAAACCCTTGATTGATGATTTCACATGGGCTGATTCTATCTATTATCATCTATAGTGATCTATAGCGGAGATTGTCACCAAGAAATCCACGGAAATCCTCTGACCAACTTTCCTAAAAACGCCACGACAGGAACTATCTCCGGTATGGTCCTGGAGCATTTGTTGCTCCTGAGAGCCGGACGGCACGCTTAACCTTGGTGGCCGAAGCGAAGTGTCTCGGTTGTCTCGGGCTCCGTTTCGGATGGTTTTTGGATTCTTTTTGGTGGATTTTTGATGGAAAAATCACCTAGGAATGGTGATAGAATGAGGATATTTCTTGATTCCATATATTGAGGAATTGACCATTAACCATTGAAAGATGAATATATTTCGGATAGAATAGGGATGTAATATGATGTAATGGAAAATGTAGCCAATTGTTTGGAGACATGGTGATTTTTGTTGATTAAGGTGATTTATATAATAGGAATATCATGAGAATATGGGAATAGCATAACAGGAATGTACAATGTAGTGAATATCATTGGGCCATGGGCTACTGTATGCAACCAACAAGATGGTATGGGCGTGTTGAAAATTGGGTCATACCCTAAATTGGTCATGATATGTTTATTGATCGTTTGTTTTCATGTGGGAAATGATGATAAGCTATGGGATGTGGGGGCTGTTGGAACTACCTTACTATGAGACAAAACGTTGCATGTTGTGTCACAACATTTACACCAATCAAGGCGTGAATGTATCATCAGCACAGAATTCAGGTATACCAGATACCCTCTGGTAATTTAACATAGCTATTGAAAATGACCATAGAAATAGTGGATTTTCCCATGAAAAATTGTGATTTTCCATAGCTATGTAAACGTTTACCAGAGGGTAGACCTGACATCGAAAAACCATGGGTTTTGCCATTGGTTTTGTGGTGATTCGCCATAAAAAAACATGATAGAAATGCCAGATTTTGCCATGGCAGATTTCACCAGGTGTCTCCGGATGTCTCGGCGGTCCCAGGATGTTAAGACTACCAGGCCTGGTGGAATTGCTGGAGAATTCGGAAGCTCGGAAGCCGGTGGTTAATCCTGCCACTTGGTGGTTTTCTCGGATGTGGAAATTCCCCAAAAATAGAGTGATCATATAGGTGTTGACCCCCAGCATGCTCTTGCTATTTTGAGTATCCAAGATTTGCTATCCTGATTTTATGACACCAGCCTGGATTGTTATCTGAGATTGGCTTCAGAGAGTAATGTGGAAAGTCATGTTCGACGGACGGAAGACTGGGGTATCCTATTTCAGACAAAACCAAGTGGAAGACAGACTGATGACAAGAGTCAGCTAGGTTTCCAATGATTGCCCTCTGGTAATTTATAACATAGCTATTGAAAATGGCCAGTTATAGTGGATTTTCCCATAAAAAAATAGTGATTTTCCATAGCTATGTTAGTCATTACCAGAGGGTATTCGGAAATTGTTGAAGTCATCGGATGGTTTTTTTCGATTTGAGTTGACCTCGGAGCTAGCGGTCGCAGATGTTGAACATCCCAACAACCAGAGGACAAATTATCCTGGTCTTCCATGGTCTTCCCAAAGAAGTATTTTACACAGAACCTCAAATCGCATGTGGGATCCCTTGTGGTTTGGCATTGTGAACTCTGGAAACATCATTGAAACGACCCTGGTAATCCTTGAAGCCGACAGAAGCAGCACATTGTTTCTTTACGCCAAAAGCCAACTACATTTGGTCCCCACATATATTTATATATATATAGTATGTATTGCATTTTTTCTAGTTGCAGCCGATATTGTTGGATCGTTCTTAGGTATGTACATATATCAACAATTAAACATATGTGTATGCTATATACACGTAGATCACGTGTGTATATACAGACTATTTTGTGATAACCGATGACCCTGTCACGCTTGGTGTTGGCCCTGTCTCTGCGTGTTTTGCTTTATTGTCATTGCTTCGTACCTGCAATGCATTGAACTTTCGACATACAATTACACATATATATATATATATATGTACTTAGTTCTATGAATAACATATTATGTACATGTATGTATTTATATACACTACATATATATAAAAAATAATATATATATATATATATATATACAGTATATATATATATATCCCGATCTGGGGTAGACAAAATATAGAACTGGACGAAGTCATCGAGATATTCATGGATCATTGGAGGACTCGGAGGCATTAGTGTTCGAGGATGAACGCCATGAGTTTTTTTACTCAGCTATGAATTGAATAAGCCCAGTCGGCAGACTTAGTTGATTGCCACACTTATCAACCAAGTACTGCCGCGTTCGAATTGGGTGTCCAAGAATTGGGGACCAAGAATTATGACCCAGTTCGCGAAGGTCACTTTTTCAGAAGCGCGTGTCATAGGTAGCCCAAGTTTAAGACACGCTCAGAAAATGTATTTCACTTGAAAGACACAAACAGATGGTTTGTGCTTTTTGCTGTAGGCCACTCCATTCTATCAGAATATGAACCAAATTGAGCCAACCTGTTGGCTGCAAACACTTTTTTGTTGAAGAACAAAGACATCATTTGGACCAATCATTTGGCTATGGGATCTATGGGTCCCAAAATTGGCCCTGGCAGCTGGTGCGCCCTGGCAGCCCCATTTTGCTCAGGAACCATCTTTACCTGTCTCACCAAATCCAAACAGTTATGCGCTGACAGAAGAAGACACGTGACCCGCCACGGATTTGTTGCGTTGCGTCCGCCACGGATGGAGATCTGGTAAGGCCGCTTCATCGATGGATATGGTTAGACACAAATCCTGGTACAAAGAGAGCACAACAATTCATCGTCTTTTTTTTAGTTGGCTTTTCAGTTCAGTAGTTGGCCATTTCGTTCTTTCAAGTAGAGCTCAGAGGGGTCACGTTTGATTTTGGGGTTCTGACAGCTAGGAAACCTCATGCCAAGCGTGCCAGGCATATTTGTTTTTGGTAGACTCCTATGTTTCCCCATGTTCACCTTTGTCTATATTTATGTTCCCCTTCAGAATTGGATTCGTAGCATTCAATTTTGGTAACTCACAACCTGTTGATTTACGAATAGTGTCCATTGAGACTCATTGTAGTTAGTTTGGTTTGAAAAGGGGTTGACATGCTAATTTAAGCAACCAACATTGGCATTGTATTGTTGAAAATACAGTCTTAACGGTTCAATCACAATACCTGCTTACTTTGAGTTTTAAGTATTGTTTCCTTCCATCCCTATCTAGTATGCTGATGCCCAATGTTCTTTCTTCAGCGGGCAGCTCAAACACAAATCAGATAGCATTTGGGGTCTCATTTTTTCAGACACACCCACCAACTCATGCTGCTTTTGCGACTTCCACTGCAAATTCAACCAAGTAGTTTGTCATAGCAGTGCTTCAATGATGATGATGATGATGATGATGATGGTGATGGTGATGGTGATGGTGATGGTGATGAGGATGAGGATGAGGATGATGATGGTGATGATGATGGTGATGGTGATGGTGATGGTGGTGATGATGATGATGATGATGATGGTGATGGTGATGGTGATGGTGATGATGATGGTGATGGTGATGGTGATGGTGATGATGATGATGATGATGATGATGATGATGATGATTTCGGTGTTTTGGTCATGATGTTTTTCGGTTGTGCCCTTGTCAATTCCCATGAATAGTCCCAGAAAAACTCGTCTCTTCCAAGCCTTTTTGGTTGATCATCTTCGGTCACCAGGTATTTTGGAGCACCCATTCCCAAGAACGAGGCCGAACGCATTGCTAAGCTTCGTTCGTTGGATGTGATGGACACCAAGAACACCGACACTTGGGTGAATGGTGCGGCTAGTCAATGGGAGGATTAGGATTGTCTGAACATGGGATACTCCCCACAAGGCCAACGAGAATTTTGGTAATTAAAACTGTGGTAAAGCCAACTTAAGAAACGATCCCCAAAATCATCATCTTTTTCTGGGTTGCATAAACCATCCCAAATTTGGTAGTTGTTTATGGCATTGGGTTTACCACATTAAGGAATTGAACCTGGGGATTGATAGGGTAGTAGTGTAGTTGTTTAAGGAATTTTATAGGGTAGTTTATGGCATTTGGTCGTTTAACATGATGATTGATCAATGATTAACTCTGGGATTGAGGGGCACTACCTATGTTCGGCCTGCCGAAAATGATGGAATCTGATGGGACTCAGGGAGCCAGCCCACACTGTTTTCAAGGTTTACTAAAATGGGTACCCCCCAATCATTCAATTTAGAATAATTTAGACTATTGTATATATATACATATATAGTATATAGTACCTATGGTTTTGGTGTTTCCCCATTTCAAGAAAGCACCCTTGAATTTTATAGTACTGTATTTTAAAAAACATCATGGTGATGATGCTGGATGAATGGAATATCATGGGATGACCTCTATGCCATTAAGTTGGACAAAGTCAGCAACTGCGGTAGTTCTAGTAGTTCAACCATGAAATACTCCAATAATCCCCAGTATGTTGAAGGGTTCCCCATGAAATCCTCATGATTATTGGGTCATTGAGTCATCATCATCCAGTTCCTGATCATGTTTCAGGGCTCATCCTTGGATTTGAGCCATCGTGGGCACTATTTTTTTGAATTTATCGACATAGTGGCATAATGTAAAATGATAAAGGAATACATAGATAGGTGGAACTCGCGTTGTTGAGATGATTAGGGGATAGTCAGATAGTCATTCTCACATTTTTTTGATCGAACGGTCTAACTCTCCAAAACAAGGGTCATATACTGTGAGCTCTGAAACAGTAGCATCTTTTGCAAGTTTAACTTACGATACCAAGATAGCCCCTGTGTGGGCCTTTTCGAACCCAGTAGCTACTTGCGGTTGTGCATGAAGGGGTTGGATGCTTGTGGTGCTCGATAGGACCCACTTTGTTCAGGGCAGGCTATCAGGCCATCCATATTTGTAGCATTCAAAACGGTCAAAACGCCCATCAGCTCCTTGATGCAGGACACGGAATACGACTTGATCACTCGAATTTCTGCTGCGATCATTGGCACTCCCATCGTTTTGGTGTCACTGGTTGCGGAGGACAAGCAATGGTTCAAGTCAAGATGTGGCCTTGAAACTTGGCTGGAGGAATGAACATCAGTGCCAGCTGGTGTGAAAACCATGGCTGGTGTGTCCCCCTTACTTACCCCTGCTAATTTTTGACATGGCGATGGAAAATCGCTGAAAATCACTTCACTTTGTGTACGTGAACCATGGTAAATCATCGAACTAAACGGACCATTTTCCATAGCGTAACAAATTACTGGAATGTATCTTATCGTTTCCGAGTTCAAGAGGAAAAAACATCACAATTTGGGGTCATTCCAGCCAACTAAACCATGGATATTGCAGGCTAAGCTTGCAAGGGTGTTCAAACCGGGATCCTTTGACATGCTTATATAATCTCATATATGTGCGCAGCTCCCAGGGCCAATGTGTTTTGTATTTCTCAGACGACAAACCCTAAACCTGAAAACATGTTTCTTATGTATATATATATATACATAGACGCAGTGTTTTCTGCACTCTCTCCTGCTCAATGCTGGAGCCTGCAGTTGCCCAGACCACGAGATCTGTTTGTTTTCGTTAGCAATGAAACTCTACAAGAACCAGGGAATCTACATACTGGAAATGTGTGCTGCTTGTTTGGGGTTCCAACTCCGCAGGCCATTCATCCATTGATCCATATGTATATATCATTTTCTATACATATGTATCTATATATGATAATATATATATATATATATAGAGATGTATATAGATACATACGTATACAATGCTCACAAAATAAAGAAAAGCATACTGGACGTGTGGACAATATATTTGGATTTATTATCAGATGCTGCACAGCCCGGTCCTTCAAGAGTCTGAACTAAATATCACCGAAATCACCTGTCAAGAGCCAGACATTCTGTGTGGTTTTCGGCATTTTTCCAACCTTGGTCCTAAATCCAGGAATACGTCGGCATTCCCAGTAATCTATATTATATACACACTGTATTGGGCACCAACATGTTGTCCATTTGGAATATTGAAACATGATGTCAAAAAGCCAGTTCTTGGGGTGGGCTAACATAAACATATATATCATATATCACATATATAGATATATACAACAAACTGTCCGTGCATAATTACTTCGAACATATTCTCAATATGACAATGTATGACATCCACAATTCCTTCCACAATTCCTTCCACAATTCCTCGCGAGTCAGGAAGCCAATGAGACCAGTCGCGCCAGCAGTTTCTGTGCGTACACCTTGGTGTCCACGGACCTGGCCGATGCTCATGTTCTCATCGTCACGGACGCCCGAAGGGACTTGAGATTTATGCGGAACCCATTGGTCCTGGGAGAACCGTATATCCAGTGGCTGGGCGACATCGCCATGGTGAGCCCCTTTTGTTTGGAGAAATTCTGTGTGTTGAATAAGTTGAATGGATGAAGAATGGGGGTTTAGAGAATTACCAGTTTAATGAGGGTTATCTCATGGCCTCTATATACAGGACACATATCCTATATACTAGATATATAATTATATACATACATATACAATTGTATATTTGAGTATTCTGCATGCAAAGTTTTGTTATTTGTTTTGGTAGGTGATTGCTTTCACTTTGGCCGCACAAGTGGGAGGACACATCCAATTCTGCAAGAGCATGTTTGTTTTTGTTTTTGTACCTGATAGATCCTTTGGAGGGGCAAAGTGCAAGAATATCACATGTATACGATACCTGTACTAGTTGATTTACACAATAATCAGAAGATATGCATATAATTGCATATATATATATATACAACTTATTTATATATATATATGTACAATATATTAATATGTATATATATATGTATCAAATGAGTTTGTAATCACATCTATACATATATATATATACATAGTCAATCTCTACTAAAATAGTTAAATGTATATACACCATAATTGTATTTCAACATTTATTCACACATAATATATACATATATACAAGAAATATATCTATATCATTTGTATATATCATGTATGTATATGCATATATACATATGTTAAATACATGTACATCATATTCATTACAAATACTGTATTATATATATGTCATAATATATATATATATCATATAGGTCATAATATAATATATATATAATATATATAATTTATACAGTATGTACGTACAGTATGTATATATTATATATATACGTATGAATATATTATATATATATACCATATACAATACATATATTCATATCATATACAATATATATATAATGTGTATATGTATATATATATATATATACATATACATATATATGATAGTATGTCATATTATACATTATTCTATAACCGTAAACACTTGTATGTATACATGTCTTGCGAAATCCCTATGGCTGGTGACTCTCCGCCTATCGACCCCTTCTGTGTCGTTAAACATGGCTAGCTGTGTCTGAAGGAGCCTATGAGAAATATGGGGACATATGGGTTTTGCAGCGCATGGTTTAGCCATGGTTATTATTGTGTCGCTTTATTGGGTAAAATATAATGATGATCTATTGGAATTGGGGAGACCCTATTTTCAGACAAGCCCTGGCCCAAATCTCCTTCAAGTCGAGGTTTCTAGCTCGGAAAATCATCCAACTACACAAATGGGCGATTTTCCAGCCACGGAGCTGATTTCCAGAAGGTATCCGATCATAAATAACCAGAAATTATGGATAGTAATTATCTATTAATTCGCCCTTCCAAAGCAAAGACAACTATAGGTTGTTTTTGACCTAGCTCAAGTATAATTCTAAAAGTGCTTCTCCCCTATCGACAGGTTGATTTCTCCACTGTCACTTCCCAAATTCCCAGGATTTTTCATTTGAGGCCAAGAAAAACATATTGGCCAACATCAGTGAGATCTTCCAACCATCCGCTTCCAAAAGAAGTGTTTGATTCGGTCAAACGCGCAAAGATCGGACCAAAAACCTATGAACAAAAATCTGACCAAAAGCCTCTGGGAAAATTAATCATCCTTTGCAGCTACAAGATTCTGCGCCCCTGTAGACAAATACTGGTAAGATGGTTTCTGGCTGAGCTGACGGATAGATTTATGGTGGATCATATCCACAGTTGAATAGGTGGTTTTTAAAAAATATAATAATTACACTGCGACGATTATAATAGGGAAAATCCCCTGTTGGTATCCATTTATAAACGATTTCGCCATATGTGCAAAGGTTTACCCTTATAGCTATGAACCATGGCCCATTTACAAAACGATTTCCTGGTGAGCCCTGGTGGCCTGGCACCATCGATTTGACGAAAAAAACCCAGTCATGCGGAAAGTTTGCAACTCGACCCATGGACCCATCCCCACTTACAACATGGATTGCAGCCTCAAAAAAACGGAATATTTAACGCTTAGATATGGGATTGGAGGGGTGAAAAAAAGGAGTATATAAACATATATTAACATATATTAACCACTGATTACAGGATTTTTCTGGGACACTGCCCCAATGCCCCGTGGGTGGAGTGGCGCGCCCACCCAGAAGTTCCGTTCTTCGTTAATTAATGAAACCTTGCTTATTTAAGCTAACCTTGCTTATTAACCTTCCTCAATTAACGACTTTTACGTTAATTAAGAGAAAACCTTTGTTAATTAAGGTAAAAGTCTTTAATTAACGACTTTTATTAAGAGAGGTTGCGTTTTTTAAGCAAGGTTAGCTTATTTAAGCAACCTTGCTTAAATTTAAGCAAGGTTTTTGTTTTTTTACCTCGGTTAATTTGTTTTGTTTTTTTTGATCAGCGTTTTTTTTGTTTTGAAGCCTGTCGTCTGTGATTGAGGTTTGGTCGGGGCAAGCCGCGACATGTCTAGAGCAATGCCTCTAGGAGTAAGAAGACTCGGAAAAGCTTTTATAGCGTCCATTTCGTCGTCGCAGGAATTCGTCATGTTTCTTCTCTTGTCTTTTTCTCGAGCGGCTACGGGCTCGTGCTCTTCGTTCCTCTTCGGCTGCTTGTTCTTTTTGTAAAACTGCTTCAGCTTCAAGATCTAGATCTTCTTCGATTTCGATCATGGGCGACGGTGCTTTATTTAAGAGCAACAAAGCTTCGGAATATTTGTTGACAAATTCGTCCATGTACTCAATGGTGCGGCATGTTGCTCTATTGATGCTTCGCATCTGATACAAGGAGGCTAAGGGTAAGAAAGACAAAATTTCGTCAAACATGGCACGGCTGATACGGATAGGGTACGCCTCTATCAAATGAAGAGGACAAGCCGCCAAACGCAAAGAAACCAAATGGCAAAAACGGCTGCAATGGCAGACGAAGTGCATGCAATCCTTCTTTGAACTGTTGCAACAAACACATTTATTTTTCTTCTTAGAGACAAAAAAATGACTTTTTTTACAAAATTTTAAAATTTTATTTTTTTTATTTTTTTTTTATTTTTTTTCAAAATCATGATATATATATAGTAATTTTTATTTTTTCATTTTTTTAAAAAAAATATATTTTTATTAAAAAAAAGATAATTTTTTTAAACATTATAAAGCATATTTTTTTCATCTGTTTTTTTAAACATGAAAGAAAAGGAAAAAAATCGAACTTTTAACGCAAACAGAGAAATGTGTAGGAAAAGGAAAAATAAGATACAAAAAAAAACAAAAATAAATCAAAATCAGAAAGTATTTTGTTTGGGAACACGATCTAAGAAAAGATTAGACCTAATAAATCTAAATGGCAATGCCCTTCCCCTACACAAAGGGCAAAACTCTTCACCTAGGCAAAGGGCAAGCCTCTTCACCGCCGCAAAGGGCAAGCCTCTTTGCGGCCGGAAAGGGTACACCTCTTTCCGTGATACGAGCCAATATACACGCATATCCAATCACTATTTTCCAATGCTTCCATCCTAGCAGAAAGTCATTAACTTTCTCATGTTCCTCGTTTCCAAAGAAACAAACTTTAATATGGTACACACTCCAAAAGATTCCATGACTCTATTTCGAAAACACTCCCCACATCCACTCCATCTTTTCCATGAAACACGCTAGCAACTCAACTACTATAACCTCAACAAAGTAATTATGATCACCCAACATAAATCCAAATAGTCCGGCCAAAAAACACAAAAAAAACATATCACCATCCAAATTTAACCTTGCTTAATTTAAGCAACCTTGCTTATCCTTAATTAAGCTAACCTTGCTTAAATAATTTAAGGCTAACCTTGCTTAATCTTAATTAACGAAGAACGGAACTTCTGGGCAGGTTCTACTGTGGCGTGCCTTTAATCACCTCGGAGGGACTTCGAATGGGTTCCCTGTGCTGCATCGACAGCAAACCTCGTGACATCTCACCGAAGGTGCGGCTGGTTGTTGTTCCAGTTGGCAACCGGGACAATGGGGTAACCAAACTCTTGTGAGTTTGAGATATTTTAATACATATATATATATATGTATAGAGAGATTGGTATAATAGTGATGTTCCATTGCCAGGTGAAATGACCAGGATTGGACCAACAATTGGCCATTGGGAATGCTTCGGGATCTGAAACCATCCATTGTGAAGTGAAGGGGTTGATTATTCCCTTGCAGTTTGGTCTACCCATCTCACAGTCATCAACAGCAACGAGGTCTCCTAGTGATAAACACCAACTCTGGGGCACCAATTCAGCATATATGATGTTGGTTCAATTTATTATTATAGTATGTCAAATTGTGTTGTATTATGATTGATTATGTTATATTATGTGTTGATGTATTTTCGTTTTGTTATATCATACTGTTGAATTCCCCAAACCCGGTAGAGACTCTAACTATCTTAAAACAATTAAAAGTACGCTTGACCTTAGGAAAACATGTGCTGCCAAAATACACTTGCAGCAAAAATGTGATTTTTGTTTCCACAGGTGCAGTCCAAAAATGCACTTTCCAAAAAAAAATGCACAATGCGCGGGTAAGAAAATACACTCGCAGTAAACGTGCAAGTCCGATTTCCACATGCGCGTAAAATAAATACACCTGCACAAGACGCAGGTTCCCAAGGCGTAAAAAAAATATGCCTGGGCGAGACACAGGTGCCAAACGCGTAAAAAAAATACACTTTTTAGCAAAAATCGCATCGCAAAATGCACCAAACATATGCAAAAAATACACAACGTCAAAACACCAAAAATACGCTTTGGGACAGGTGTATTTTAAATATGCCGTGCCTGGAGACCAAAAGTGCGCACGGAAGAAGGTGTATTTTCTGGCGGCGCAAATTTTTAGCCACGTGAATTCCATATTTCTAAGTGCATTTTGGCTTTGGCCACAATGACGCGATTGAGGCGAATTTTAATTCCAAGATGCCTTAGAGAGTGTACCAGACTTTGGGGAATTCAATCATACTGTATCATACTATGTTGTGTTTTGTTTGTCTTGGAACTACTACTAGAGTTATTGTTTTGTGCTGTATTGTATTTGTTTCTATTATATATTTAGTAATAGTTGTATATATTATGTATTAGATATTATATGTTGGATATTATTATGTATGCATTACTGTAATAAATCTTCATGTGGATTTCAACATGCTGTTTGCATTTCTAACAGCACAAGGGAAGCCTTTCAGGAAGTGATGTGACCTTCATGGCTCAAGGATGACGATTTTCTCCCATTTGTCCTGTTGGTTTGTTTGAAAAGTGGAAAAACACATGGAAATATGGGAAATGCATGGGAAACTATGGGGAAAAATGTGGGACACTTATGAAAAACATATGGGAAACTATGGGAACTCAAACATAGATTGGAATTTAGTGGAATATATGAGAAAACATGATATGTTCATGTTCACCCAACACGTTGCAATTTGGATGTCCCCATGTTTGGACACAGCCAAATCATCTTGTTGGTTCTCTGTGTGTATATATATATATTCCATATTACATCCCATTATATATCCCATGATGGCCCATGATATCCTATTAAGTATGATATTAACCCCCCATTTTGCTGATGAATCCGCACATGAAAATCCCAAGGCCTTACTCCTCAAAGCCCACATACTTGGGGCTGCATCCTACTTCGTAAATGGATTACACCCTCAATCATATACTGTACTGTATCAATGGGAATTCCAGGATCCTAAGATGGAGGTACTGTACCATATAAGGCCATATTTTGTGGTGATATTCCCTTCCATAGGCCTTATATATATATATATTTATAGGCCTTATATATGGTAGGTACCTCCATTTTAGGATCCTGAAATTCCCATTGTTACAGTAATCCCCCAAGCATTTACTGTAAGGAATATCCCCACCGGATGATCCGATTTGTGCCTGCAGATTCCAAGTAGAAAGCTGGACCATGTGGGGATGGGTCAAGTTAGCTATGAAATTCACAATGGATATTGGATTCATGATGTTATTTGACAATGGATTAATCATGATATACCAATTGCTCAATGGATATTCTAATGAATTATCAAAATGAATTACTGTAACCAATAATTAGATAACAATAATAGTGATGGATTATTAAAGTTAATCCAACTTATTAAAGTATCATTGAATATCCAATAGTGATGGATAACTGAATCCAATAGTGATATCCTTAATAATCCAAATTAATATTGAAATAGAATCGGATTATGTATCATTGAATCGGATATCCTTTAAGACATCTCCCATGTTTCATCCCAAGGCCCACATGCCTCGCAGGAGCTGGGCCTCCAGATTAACTTTGGCTACCTGACGTCGCAGGCCGGGGATTGAAGTCAAAAAGACATGGGGATATCACTGGGGTATCATGGGATATGAAGATGATATATATATATATATATAATTATATATATACATATGTATATATATATATGCATAATATATTTGATATATCTATCTATGATATATGTTTATACACAATAGGATATAGACTAGGATGATGCTGACGCAGTAATCAATATCCGTAGCAATTTTGATCGAAATACCCCGTTTCGTTGGATGATTGCTCCAACTATTTCACCTCCATTTAGTTCGGGGATTTCCCAGCTAGTCATGTTTGATTACTGAAGGGTAATTCATGGGTAATTCATGGGGATATATATATATATATTAGAAATACTTTATATGTCTATCCTAAGGAGTTATATATTCATCCCCATATATAATAGGAATATTCCCATTTATATATTCGTTCTATAAGGAAACATGTAACGAATTGATCCATCCAACAAGATGATTTGCAAAGTTCAGTCGGCATCCCCGATCATGTTGATGTTCAGCCCTCAGCCCCCGATGGTATGATCGGTTTTTTATATCCCCAAATCTTTTTTTTATGTTATATTTGACGGGTGGGCGGTTGAGATTATTTCTGCAAAAAAAAAAGATAAACCCCTGAAAATCAGACAGAATCGTCTCAAGAGTGTTCTCCTTCCGGGGGGTCCAGAAGTCCTTTTACATAGGATGCTTAAAAAAATCCAGAAAACAATTTGGATACAAACTGCAATTGCATAAAGAAAAGAACCTATACTCAGAACTTGGGGATCACAGATTTTTAAAAGACAGTGCGCCCCTATGGGTCAGAATTGGATCTAGATGTTCTGCCTTCATACCTTGAGTACCTGAGGGATAGATGGTAGTACCCTCTGATAATTTAAAATATAGCTGTGGAACATCACCATTTTTTATAGGAAACATATCGAACTAAGCGGACAAAACATGAACCACTTTTGATAAGTATGTCACAAATTACCTGTGGGTGACATCCCAAATTCTTGATCTATAGTACGTCATAATCACGATAAAACCATATAAATGATAAATTGATCGCTATGTGATATTAAATTACCGGAGGACTCGTTTAAGCATCATCCTGTCTTGGGTGTGATGTTGATAGGTAGGTCACAACCACGCAACTGTTCGCCTCTCCGTGTTCGATTGACCCTTTTGGGTATGATTTCGAGAAGCCAACGGCAGAGGCTCTTGAGTCAAAGTACTTGGAAGAGCAGAACTCTCAGGAGCCTCTGGGTAATTTTTAGTTGGTTTTCTTTGGTTTAAATAAGTTTAAGATATGTGACAAATATGAATCTGTTGCCCATTGAACAGGGCAGGATATACCCAGCTCTTTTTGTTTTTTCCTTGGTATGCAAGGTTGACCATGTGACCTTTGACAGGGGCACTGCGTTCAAGTGTTTGGTTAGGATGTGGTTCGTCACCAGGGCACATATCATGGGGCAGGCGTTTAGCGAACTTCAATCGGAACGTCCCAGTACATAATATACGTTGATGATTTTGATGTATTTTTTTGATGTAGTTGTTTTCTCGAGATTATCCCCTAAATATTTGGGTGAGTTGCAGGTGTGGCTGGGGAGTGGGGAAGGGTCGCGAAGGCAGGATCGAAAGTGCTATCATATCCTCTGGCAATTGAATGTATGTATGGACATCTACCATTTTTGATAGGTAGACCATCTATATATGAGCCATTTTCAAACATGTTCAATAGCAATAGTTATGTCAGAGTAACAGCGGGCATGGGAAAAAAGGCTACGACGACAAACCAAACTCAGTTATGCAAGCAAAATCAAACATATACACACAATATATATATATATATGTATATACATATACATACATACATATACATATATATATATATACATATATATATATATACATACATATATATATGTATAATACACATATGAATATATCAATTATCTACATATATATATTATACAATATATATATATATAATGATTCCTGGGATGCACATCCAGGGAGGGTACCGGCTCGGCAGGATATGTCTTGGGAATGGGCTGCTGAAGCACCAATCAAATCACTGGTTGTTTTCTCCAGTATGTTATGTTCATTTCCTGGTGGTATCTCATGTTTGTGAGGTATCTCCCAAGCGTGGATAGATGTGGATCCTGTTTGTTTGTTCCTTGTTTTTTCCCGTGTGCGTATGCATACCCTGGATTGAATGCTTGATCCACCAGCCCTACTCGTTGAAAACACTGCAGGAGCCCCGAGAAGGAATCAGCAAAGAGGAGAGGGGGCTGCGAGACTGGGTCCCTGCGTGAGTGTTTCAAAAATGGGGGATACCTGGATGAGAAAAGTATTCCAGTTGGGAAAGGAATGACAGGTAAACAACCATTGAATTTTGTATATTAATATTATACATATATATATATATATATCAATCACTCATCACGGATCGCATCTGGTGGGTTCAGGATAGTAATTGCCCCCAATGACTTCCCATGTTGGTCATCATGTTGTCATGGTGGTGAAGTCATGTTACATGTGTACAAATGTATACATAGCACCCCCCAAAGAGATAGAACAAGTGTGAGCAGGATGTTCTAAAGTTATAGATTATAGATGGTATCCGTCTACTTTGATGTTTGTATGCATCTTATACAGAATTGTGAATATCCCGTCATACGCCCAAGATGTCCCAGTTGTTTTTACAAAAAAACGCAAACTCCATGTCCACATCATCATCATCATCATCATCATCATCATCATCACAAAGTGTGCTGATTCAAAGCGTCAGGTGGTCTTTGGTGCTGCACCAGCCTCTGCCTCTGCAGAGAAAATTTCGAGTTTCCATTGATAGACACGTTGCCCCTTTAAAATTGCATCTTAAAATGGATAAACCCTGAAGAACATCCCGTTACACTCCAGTAATTCAACATCGATATAGAAAATGGCAGTCACTTGTAGATCATTTCAATCATTTCCGTTTGAAACCATTGATGTTCCATACTGATGTTAGTTTACCGCAGGGTGTATCCTGTCTGCCAGTCATCCTTTAAAAATCTGCCACAGGAGGAGCATTTCCTTGGGGGTCGACTGAGGGCAGAAGCGATGTGTGACTTTGGACGCACCGCCATCTGCCTGGTTTGGGCGCGGCCTGATTCCATGGACTGGCCCTTGATGCATCTTGGTGAGGATCATCTCACAGAACTGTGATCTGAAGATTCCTAAGGGATTCCTAAAGGGATAATCTGATACTGTATATTTGAGAATGATGAACTATGTAAATTTGATGGACTGGACTGTATTTGCTTAAACACATTCTGTAAACTGCATTCCTAGATCCGCCAACTTGGACCCTTTGTTTCCGTTTAGTTAAGTTTAGTAGTTACCCGGATCCATCAAAATCTGAGCACAATGAGTGGGTTGACATTGTCGACACATGTTTATTGCGACTAAAAAGTGTCAAGATACATGTGTTTTTTAACTTACCAGCAACATTGGAGAGGTCCAAAGATGTGTGTATAGGAGTACCCAACAAATTGAAAGTCAAACGCCACATACAAATATAAACATTACAGAAAGGAACCTTATTAAATTGTCATTTTCTTGGCAGCCAAGGGATTGCGACTTTCTCAGCATGATCTTACCATTGTGGGTGGGTCCTAAAGGTAGGATGAGCACCATTTGACCATGCTTGGAATCAAGACATTTTAAGGCTGGTTGGTGGTGACTGGAACATGTTTTATTTTCCCATATATTGGGAATAATCATCCCAACTGACTTTCATATTTTTCAGAGGGATTGAAACCACCAACCAGATTTTAAGGGATGTGGCGCAGGGTCTTAGAATCAAAATTCAATGGGTTTTGAACATTCGTCGCACTTTTTTTTCCATACCTCTCCCGCTGTTTCATGGCCATGACTCTTGGAAGTGCTGGATTTTTAATCGAATTGGGTCCGAAAATTGCATGGAGTGCAGATGATTGCAGGTTTATTATCATTGATAAGATATGTGGAATGTGTAATACAGAATTGATATCCATTAATCCAGGTATCAATGTCTATATCCAGTAATGATTACACACCATGGTAGAATGTGCCAAATGGGTTGCATATCTTCGAATTTCCGGTTGATTGCCTGTTGAATTTGATCCAGTGGCCTGGCTAGTGAGAAGGCGGTCCAGCGGACTGCGCTGGCTGAAATCTTCGCGTTTACGATTGAACTCTCCATGTTAATGGCGTGTTGATTCCCATGTTCAACAAAAAATACCCTCTGGTAAATTGACATAACAATGGAAAATCACAATTTTCAATGGGTAAAATCCACTATAAATGGCCATGTTCAATAGCTATGTTAAATTACCAGAGCGTAAATCTATGTTGAAGCCAGAACGCTCCAGACATCGAGCGCCCAGGTATGGCAGCAAAGTCTGGACAGAGCTAACGGGCGTTGAGGCAAGCCATGTCTTGCCTGGATACTCGTAAGTGACGTATGTTATGATAGACGTTTTTGAAACAACTACACATATTTGCATGTAATGTATTTTGGTTAAATACATCTGTTCAACATTTTGTATGTCAACCAACGTGGATGTATTGTTTTCCAAAGGAGTACAAATAGACCGGACATATTGAACTGATATATTTAATCATATTATATTACATTACTATATCATTATGTTTATATATTTATATTTATATAGTTACATATTTAATACATTATATATATGTATATATTGATATATGTATATATATATATATGTATATATATATATACATATATATATATGCACATATGTATTTGTATATTTAAATTTATATTTATATATTCACATATATATATATATATTTATATATTTACATAATTAGATATATATATATATATATATATTTACAGTATATATTTATATATGCTTATATATATATATGCTTATGTGTGTATATATATATATTTATTTATAGATCGTATATGCTTGTCAGCAATACATTGGTGGGTAAATGTGTGTTTTTTGCTTACTTTTATACATTGACGCGTGCATGCATGTGTTCATTGTGCCTGTTGAGATCCCTGTTCCGGAAGGCCGGCCTTCGTGCAAGTACTTGTTTTCTCCCAAGTGATAGTGTCTCAAGCGAGAACGTGTCGCAAATGATCTAAATAAATCGCAAGTGATCCTGCATGCAACCTCCTACTCTAGATGCTCTTGAAAAATGATCATTAGCTCTTTGAATTGTTTTGCTCCATGCTTCTTTGGATATGATTCCATTTATACTCTGTGTGTCCTTTGCTGTTTCGAATTGTCAATGCATCCCGATCCCCATAAGCCGAATATGCCATGGTTTATTTTAGGCCTGGTTGCTGCTGCGGACCAGGCATGTTTGGATGTCCTCAAGTTTTCAGGTATGTATGTGATTGTATGTGTATATATATATAGAGTGTGTGTATCAGCATTTTCCAACCACATGGTAGTATGCACATATAGTGTATATGTGTGTTTTTGTAGACTGTTGTATCTTCAATGTACGTATTTGATGTGTGCATGTATGCATGTGTGCATGTATGCATGCATGCAATGTTAAGTCATGTCATGTTTTCCAATGTTTTGTTATGTTATGTTGTTTTGTGTTGGGTTGTGATGTTTAGTTTTGGGTTGCGTTTTGTCCTGTTCCGGGGTGTTATGTTATGTTATGTTTCGGTGTGGTCTGCCATGTCATGTCAAGTAACGTCATGTTATGTCATGATTTGTTGTGTCAGGTATGTATGTAATATATGTAATGTACACAATATAATGCAATGTAACGCAATGTAATGTAGTCTAATGTAATGTGAAATATGGCAATGCAATGTGATGTGATATGATGTCATGTAATGTAATGTGAAGTAAGGTAGTGTGGTGTGGTGTGATGTGGCGCAGTGTAATGTATGTGTACATTTATGCATGTATATATATATACAATATATATATATACATATACAATCATATACATACATATACATACATATACATACATACATATATATATATATATATACATACTTTCATATATATATATATACATATATATATATATATATTCATATACATGTATAAGTTGCACATGAACTCCGGATCCCTGTCCCTGGACAGGTCATTCCACCTTCGAAATTTCCGGGCCAAGCGGTGATCCGATCGGAGGCCGAGCGGTTTTTCGATGGTGACCCATGGTGATGTGACTAGCTATGTGAAATGACCACCTTGAGGCTGTTTGGAGCTGGGATGATAGCTAAGTTGGTTTATAACTCCAATAACTATGGTTTGTGGTACCTACAACTATAGTTAATGGGGCTTATAAACCATCTTATAACTGGGGGGCCCCACATTGTATAGATGCCCCATGTTTCACTTCGACTCTATGGATACGAAGATTCTGATCGGAGTTCAGTGGTTACGACTTACGTCATTTTTTGGACAAAGCTGGGATAGCCTTGCACATGGGAATACATGGTTTACGAAGTTTATCAGTACCATAAAGTGGATGGAATTGTTCAACTGGCATGTCTCCCAGGAAATATCCCGTGAAATACATCTGACATATCCGACTTTTCAGGCAAAGTAGCGCAACCTGAGTGCCCCCTAAATGATGGTTAGAAGGGGGGTTTGCCAAAAATTGATCTCCAGTAAATTAGCATAGATATAGAAAATACAACATTGTAGCTGATGTTGCTATGAAAACCCATGGATGTCCATATCTATATGAGTTCACCGGATAGTACCGTTCAGCAAAAAAAACGAAGTGATGAGATCATGCTAAGTGCGGTGACCGGTATATCAACGTACAGTATATCAATCATGAAATCTCTCAAGGTCAGAACTGCTAAAACGAAACAACCACCTATGGGTGTGACTGAGAATGGAGTTGGCCCAAACTGAAGTTTCCTTCCTGATCAAGTCTGGTCATTCCTAAAAGTGTTGGACAGCTTCCTACTTCAACATAAGTCTAGTTTTGGATCAGAAACTTGATTTAGACAAGCATTGGATTCCTGGATGATGAGACATAATGAGGCAAGTACTGTTGATTGGGCACACCAAGTTCGTCCAAGTCAATTCTATGCTGGATGGAATTGAGGCAGAATTTGCTGCATCCACTTGCTTTTGGGATCATGGCTCAACAGCGCTGAATAGATTGTCTCTCAGAAAGTGTCGGTAATTTGTGAATGCCTCTGAAGCGAAGTCTTTGCTCGTTCATCCCTCTTTCAGATGATGATTCCTATTTATGCATTTCTTGAAATGGGCTGATAACCCAGGTAAACAGGAGTACTTGGCAGACAGATCTCGGTTTGGGCTGGGAATGGCTGGGACGCGAATGTTGATCTTGTGCCAGTGGATGAGCACAAGATTCAGTAGCTCAGTGCCTCACCAGAGCCGCAACATTCAGAGGAGGAATTCCAGACTGCAGGATCCATATATAGATGGAAGGTACAGCGCCTCAGGGCCCCTGGATGGGTGCAAACATTTGGTTTTTGGTTCACCAAAACGGATTTAATCATTTAAACATATGGATTTAACCTACAAAAACAGGATTTTTCCTGGATTTCAGTTGCTAAATGTATGTAGCGAAAGTGGCGATTGAGCGGATTTTTTTGTTTCCCAATGATTTGGGTAGATCATTTCATGGTAGTTTGTTTGGTGTAGTTTGCTCAGGAAAAAAAGACCCTACATTTCCCAAAAAGCGCGCCAAGACATTTGAATGGGTTGCAGTCCTAATTCTGCTGACCAACGATAATGGCTGCTATGAACTACACCCAGAAATGTATATTAAATATACTTGTAGGATGCATACAATGACCAAGATTCTATGTTTTTATTTCTTAAATCTTTTGCAAAACATACAATGACCTGTTTGGCAAAAGATCCCCCCGGCAGGTGGGAAAGACTTGGCCCGCCATCCTCGGAAGCGGTGAATCCTTCTGGGACTACGTGCCTCGCAGAAGCGACCTTCCCCTAGTGATTTGATATTGTGGTTTACCCTCTGGTTATGACTAACAGTTAGCTATTGAACATGGCCATTTATAGTGGATGTTCCCATTAAAAATGTTGATCTTCGTATTATTTGGGTTTATTATGGCGTATTTTCGCGAGGAAACGGTGAACCAGCCTATTGGCACAGTGTTACAGCTATACCAGTCCCTTGATAGCATCCCATGGCCATAATATATGTGTTCAAAAGGGTGGTTT